TCTACTTTCTGTCTCTATGAATGTGCCTATTCTGGACATCCCATAGAAATGAAATCATACAATAAGATAAGGGTCCAACTTCATTATTTTGATATGGATATCCAGTTGTCCCAGAACCATTTTTTGAAAAGACTGTTCTTCCCCTTATTAAAGAGTTTTTACATCCTTGTCATAAATCAGTTAACCGTATACATTAGGGCTTATTTCTGGACTCTCGATTCTATTCTATTGATATTTATGTTTATATTTATGCCAATACTACACAATCTTGATTACTATAGCTTTGTTTTAAGTTTTGAAATCAGAACATATGAGTCCTCCAACTTTGTTCTTCTGGCTATTCTGTGTCCCTTACATTTTCATATGAATTTTAGGGATCAGCATGCCAATTTCTTCAAAGAAGCCAGGTGGAATTTTGATAGACTGCATTAAATCTGAAGATCAATTTGGGAAGTATTGCCATCTTGACAATATCCAGTCTTCTAATTCATGAACATAGGATATCTTTCCATTTACTTAGGTCTTTTGTAATTTCTTTCAACAATATTTTGTAGTTTTCACAATGTAAATTTTACATTTGCTTGGTTAAATTTATTACTAAATATTTTATTCTTTTTATGGTATTGTAAATGATATTTTCCTAATTTCATTTGCAGATTGTTCATTGCAAGTATAGAAATACATTTGATTTTTATACAGTGATTTGTATCTTTTAACCTTACTGAACTCATTAGACCTAATAGTTTTTTTTTTCCTTGTATCAGTATTGTAAATGATATTTTCTTAATTCCATTTGCAGATTGTTCATTGCAAGTATAGAAATACATTTGATTTTTATACATTGATTTGTATCTTTTAACCTTACTGAACTCATTAGACCTAATAGTTTTTTTTTTCCTTGTATATTTCTTAGGATTTTCTATATGTCATCTCTAAATAGAGATAGTTTTACATCTTCCTTTCTAGGATTCTTTTTAAACATTGAATTGAATTCACCTTATGTACATAGAGAAACTGAGACCTGAAAAGATTAAATAGGACTTCACAAAAATAATATGAGATCTTGAGGAAGCATAACATGAAAATCACTCTCCTTCCTCAGTTTCCTCTTTTCTAGAAAATCCTGCTTCCTCAGTTTTAACTGTGGAGCACTAAAGTCACTTTAACAATAATAGAACTATTTTAAATGCACTGTAAAAAAAAATGGAGCTTTTTCTGAGGATGTTTATGAAACCAGTAGAACTTTAACCATATTCTTTGGTGCTTTAAATGAATGTTAAGTTCAGTGGTTTTAATTGAAAATCATGCTTTATTAAAATGAGTGGGAAATTTATGGTCATAAATGTGGGTGTGTATTTGAGCAGAAAGCCATGTGACTGAAGCAATACTGCCACCTGTATGTAATATGCTCTCATTTCAAGTTCTAACTTTCAAAAAGTGAGTACATCTCTTTAATTTTGTTTTGTTTAGTAATGCACTTTTAAATTTCTAAAATAATGAATATTGAATTAACATTTTGACTAGGTCAATATGAGGGTATTTCGAAAAGTTTATGGAAAGATTCGTATTTCTTAATTGTTTTTTTCACAGACTCATATACTTGTATGGTTTGAGATTCTAAAGGTGCATAAGAGCATACAAGGAAGTTTCTCTCCCACCCCTGTACTTCTGTTTCTCCCCCCAGTAGTAACCAGCAAAAAAGTTAAAAACAGCTTATTGTGTATCTTTGTGGAGATAATGTACACATATAAACAAAAACATATGTAACAGTGGGAGGCAGAATAATGGCTTCCAAAGATGCTCACACCCTAATTGCTGAAACCTGTGAATATGTTACTTTGCATGGAAAAAGGGATTTTGCAGATGTGATTAAAGTTATGGACCTTGAAATGACCACGTTAGCCTGGATTGTCCAGGTGGGCCAAATCTAATCACATAAATCCTTAGAAGCAGAGACTCTTTCCCAGCTGTGGCCAAAGAGTGATGTTTGACGATGCAATAAGAGTCAGAGAGATGCATTGTGAGGAGGCTTGACCTGCTTTTGCTGGCTTTGAAAATGAAGGAAAGGGGTCCCAAGGCAAGGAATGCAGGTGACCTCTAGACCTGGAAAAGGCAAGAAAATGGATTCTCCCCTAGCGTCTCTAGAAAGGAACAAAGCCAACACCTTGATTTTAGCCAGTGAGACCAGTGTCAGACTTCTTCTGACTTACAGAACTGTAGGATAATCTGTCTTAAATTTGCAGTAATTTGTTAAGGCAGCAATAGAAAACCAATATAATAAGCTTTTCCCCAATTTTTACACAAAAGGTAGTTTAATATATACACTATTTAGTACCTGGCTCTTTTTTCATTAAATATATCTTAAAGATAATTGCATATCACTCTTTCAAAAGGGGATATATAACATTCCGTTGTATGGACACACCATTATCTACCCAGCCCCCTACCAATGTTCACTTAGGCTGTTTCCTGCCTTTTATTACAAACAGTACTGTAATGAATAACCTTATATATACATCATTTCTTATATCAGGAGGATGCATTACTAGAAGTGAAACTGCTGGGCCAAAGAGTATATGTATTTTTAGTTTTGCTAGCTATTGCCAAACTGCCCTCCACAGAGTTTATAAACTGGCACAGTCTCCATGCAAGGCGTATATGAGAGCACGTGAGTGCCTGCTCCCCTTGCCCTCACCACATAGTGACAGCTTTCTTTAATGCTGACCCTGTACCCCTGTAGTTATGGACGGAAGTTCAACCAACTCTGGAGTCCTAGCTCTTCACTGCAAACATATCTGACCCTGCATAAAATTCAGAGATGCCTGTCGAATCATAAAATGTTTGAGATGAAAGGTACTTTACATCATCCCCTTCTTTTATAGAGTCTAGAATTTCACAGGAATTTTGGCTGAGAGCATATCTAAATAAAGAGCACTCTGGGAATCTAATGTAGAATTCAACAGTGCCCATATATCCGATTCCTTTATTCTCTCTTGAATCAATATCTTGTGCAGTTGCCACTGGGAACAATACAGCTCATTTTGCCTGGTTTCCTCAGGAAAGAGCTCTGCTTTTGAAAGACAACAATGGGGAAGAGTTTGCAGGTCCCCAGAGAGCCACAGGGATTTGCTCTGCTTGTTGTTGTCTCTGCAGTATCTTGGAAGATGGTATGAAATTGAGAAGATCCCCGTGAGCTTTGAGAAAGGAAACTGCATCCAAGCCGACTACTCGCTAATGGAAAATGGAAACATCAAAGTGATAAACAAGGAGATGAGGTGAGTGGCTGTGCACATCCGAGTGCAAGGCCTGCGGAATGCTGTCCCGGAGTGACTGGCTATCTGTGCAGTCCAGTTTGGGAAGGATGAACCCTGCTGGGTCTGGACTGCCTGCTCACAGCAGGAGCTGACTGGCAAGGACTAGAATTCACTCGTTTCCACTTGCTGAGCACTTGTAGTGTATACCAGACCCTGAGAGGCAATGGGGACTCAACAACAACCCAAAATGACAGGGTTCCTGCCCTTATTGCCAAATAGATTTTATGGTAGCAAAGGACATTGGGGTCCATCTTGTTTGACATCCAGACCAAGAGAGAAGCCCCATCTGTACTATCTGCTGACACAGGGCATCCAGCTTTGCTCGAATCCTTCCAGGAACTGGGACCTCCTCACCTTCCCTAACAGCTTATCCCATTTCCAGGCAGCTGTACGTGTTAGAAAACTCCTTTCCTTATTACACAAGAATCAAATACATATATATTCACACTCTAAGTTATGTAAACGGGATATCCTACAAAAGCGTATATTTCTATTACTGAGGTCTTCTAACATTGATATTTGATCTCAAAATTTACATTTTGGAAAGCAAACAAACATAAAATCCCAGGAAGAACTCCTTCCTACCCATCCTCCATCAACAAAGATAACAGCAACAACAATTAATATTTATGAAGCATTTCCTATGTGCAAGACACTATTCTATATATGTGTGTGTACACTTGAATGTACATATATGTACGTACATACATGTAAACGAATATGTACTCTTTTAATCCCCACAACAACCTGAGTTAGGTACTATTATTAACCCCATTTTTATGGATGAGGAAACTGAGGTACAGAGAGGTAAAGTAACTTGCCCAAGGGTCACACAGCTTATAAGTAATGAAGCTGAGATTCAAATCCAGAAAGAAGTGAAATGGGAAAGAGAACAGAAGAAAAATGAAAGAAAGGAGACAAACGAAAGAAAGGCTGGGAATGAAGGTTGTTCTTCCCGATCCCCACAGGATTTGAGAACTGCGTTCAATTACAAGAAAACAGCTACAGCCCAGCCTGGAAGATCCTAGGCTTTCTGTGGCCGTCCCATCATTCACTAACCTTCCCGTGAGCCAAAACCCAGTGGATTGACTCCTTGGCCCTGCATAAACCAGAGAAACATTTTGTTCATTTCCCCTTCTCATTTAGTCCTTCTCTCTCTGGAGCCTAAAAGCAAGAAATGGCCTTTCAGACCATTGCAGATAGTCCAGAAAACAGTGCTGAAGTGCGAGGGCCTAAAATATTATCCAGTCCTAGAGCATTTCATTTGTTGCTTCTTATCACCCCACAGCTGTCTTCCTCTGCTTGGTCTCAGAGACAGTCACAAAGGAAAGGGCAGGGGATGGAACTAGGGTCTAGCCTGCCTTTGAGAGCCTCTCTCACCAGAAATCATAGTCCTGAGTGTCACAAATCTTGCCTTTCATTGATTTTTGGCTTACAATGAATTGTTTCTTTTCTTTCTTTCCTTTTTTTTTACTAATTGCAGAGCTGATGGAACCGTGAATCAAATTGAAGGTGAAGCCACCCAGGATAACCTCACAGAGCCTGCCAAGTTGGCAGTTAAGTTTTTCTGGTGTAAGTATCCACTTCTCTCAGAAGGTTTCAGGGACAGGAGCCTTGGACTGGAGCACTCCTGTCACATCTGAGTGTCATCTATAATGACCCAATATGGAATTACTTGCTGAGTGCCTACTACATGCCATGCACTGGAGATGCAATGATGAGCAGGACAGAGCTGGCTCTTTTACTTATGGAGCATACATCCCCGTGGATACTGATGAGCAACCAGGAGATTTACTGTGAAACTACAGTCAGTGTTTCAATAGGTGAAGCACAAATAGGAGAACATAGGGCATGAGCAGTAGGAGACCCAATGCAGACTTGTTTCTCAGAGAAAACTGAGGCCCCCCAAATTAGTAGCATTTATCAGAACTAGCACGTGCAAACTCTTGGAGGCAAAAGATGACAAGACTGAAGACAAGTTTGAGTCTTGGCTCTGCCACTTTCCAGTCGCATTGTTGAGGACCCTGAGAGATTTAATCACAGGCCTTTGCCCTCTGAGTTCTGAGCTTTCTGAGGGATGGACACAGGCAACAGAGACAGCACTAAATGTTAGTTTTATTGCTGAAGTGGATGCACTAGGGAATTCAGTACAGAACCGTGAGGCTTCCTAATGCTGAAAGTGCTTGGGAGCCCCTCTTTGCACCCACAGGGCAGACACCGAACTCACCAGCTGCAAGAGAAATCACTACCCTTCCCCATCCTGCCGCCTCTCCACCCCACACCCGTCAGAGCCCTAGAGCGGGGCAGAGAGGATGTTCTTATTTTATAAGCCAAGAAAGGAATGCTGGGAGAAGAAAACAGTTTTTCCCACTCATGACTATGGGCAACTAAGTTCACATACACAAAGCAGGGATAGCTGCCCAGCATGGTGAAGGTAAACTAGATAACACACGCTCTGTAAACTGTAAAGGGCTTTTACACATTAGTTTCTCTTATTTCTACAAAGGAAGTTGAAGTGCACAAGGACTGACTGTAGGCAGTGACTGAACTAATTAGAGGTAGAGGTAGAGTTGGGACTTAAACCTTAACCTAGGTTTCCAAACTCTCAACTGAGTAGTTTTCTCATAAACAGGTCAGGAATGGGGGCGGAAGTGAAGGTTAAATATTATGTGCATGATCTTCATAACAAAGCCTGGGACAGGAGCTAAAACAGAGGTGGGAGCTGTTGGCTGAGGAGGCTGAGAAGGGAGAGATTTATACTGGTTGGAAGAATTAGATGTTTGCATTGGGCCTATAGGATGTATGAGAGATGGTGGAAAAGGATGTTCCAAGCAGAGGGGATGACATAGGAGGTGGTCTGGGGAAGAAGCCTAGAACGTGCGAGGGCACACAGAGTGTGGGATAAGGTTAGGGAGAGCCTTGAAAGCCATGTTAGAGAGTTTGAAGTTTCTTCCATAAGCAATGGGAGACTGTCCAAGTTTCCTAATAGAGAGAAATACGGAAGTTTTCTGTACTAAGAGGAAATATCTGGGTAAATTTATTCTTGAGAGCTAGACCCTCTGAGAGGAAAACAGAATGTTCATGCCTGGGTGTGTGCAGGTGGGACATGATGCTGCTGCTAAGAGAGATGGGAGACATATTTTTCCAAAATCACTCAGGGATGAAGAGTTCTCAGTCCAACTGGGAATACAGCACACAGCTGAAATTCACAGATAGCAGACTATGAAGACTATAACTCTCTCTTTCTGGGTGAGTGAGAAAGGCAGGCAGGGATCAACAGTGCTGGAAAGGAAAGTCAGAAACAGCACACAGTCCAGGCTCCCATCCAGACTTCTTCCAAGTGTTCTTCTGTTTTCGTATTTATAAACAAACCCAGAGGCAGGAAGGATCTTGGTGGGTGGTTATCTCGGCCAGCACTCTTGTGTTGTCCTGATAACCAGCTAGGTCCTTGACACCCAGCCAAGCTCTACCACTCAGACACTGCTTTCTTTGTCCAACAGCTTCTCAGGTCATTCACAAGCTCTGAATTCTGGTTTTGACTTGGCAAACAGAAGTTATTTTTGAGTGGAGGAGATGGGATGCTTGACTGCATATGTGTCCAAGTCTTGTGCTTATGGGGTCAGCACACAGGTTTTTCCTATTTGGGTCCATCTTCCATTTAACTTGAACAAGCTGGGCTATGAGTTTTCCTTGGCTTGGACCTGGGCCGTGGAGATCAAGTTTACAGAGGAAGTTTCTAGATCCAGATGGAGAGAGTAAATCCTCCATCTCTCCTCTCAAGGACCCCTTTATTCTTGGACTTTCGATATTTTACAGATGTCGATCAATGTATCTTTACAGGCACTTTGTGAAAAAAAGCTTATAACCTGTTACCAACTGGCTTACCATATTCTTAAGAATGGAAGGATTTTCAAAGAACATACAGAAAGGACACACACACACACACACACACACACACACACATATATACACACACAAATTAGCTTCTGCCTCCTCCCTTAGGCAGGTTTTAGAGGAAATTGGATGGTACAGACGTGGAAAGTTAGAGGGCCCCTGACCTTATATTCTTGACTCCAGTTAGCCTCCGTGTACATTGGTGTTAAGTACAACCTGTCAGTCCAGGAGGTCCAGCCAAACTCCTCAGTTATCCCAGGAGACCACCTGCTACCAGGGAGGAGGACCATAACAATGGTTCTTAACTCTGGTCTCACATTGACATCACTGGGGAGTTTTTAAAAGTACAAACCACCTCCAGATCATGATCTCAGGAAGGGCGGGGGAAAGTGGGCTTGGCTTCCTTCTAAGCCCCCCCCATGACCTCCATGTGAAACCAGAGTTAAGAACCACTGATTTAGAAGAAATAGGATTCCAGAGTCTGGCCTCCATAGTCCTAGAGAAGAAGTTTCCCTCACCTTGGTCCCTCCTAATGCTGCCTTTCTTTGGTTATCAGTGATGCCGTCAGCCCCGTACTGGGTCCTGGCCACCGACTATGATAACTATGCCCTTGTGTACTCCTGTACTACGATCGTCTGGCTTTTTCACTTGGATTATGTTTGGATCTTGGGAAGAAACCCTTATCTCCCTCCAGAAACAGTGACCTATCTAAAAGATATCCTGACTTCCAATAACATCGATGTGGAGAAAATGACGGTCACAGATCAGGTGAACTGCCCCAAGTCCCGTTAACAAGGCTCTAAAGGGAGGCTGCATCCAGTCCATGTCACTTTGCTTTGCTTTCCCCCCACCCCCACCCCACCCCACCCCATCCCACTCTTCATAAAGACAAACGAACCTGCCATGACAAACCGTTGCAAATACCAGAAGGGAAGTTTGACGGCAGAAGCCAATGGAGGGAACTCAAGGAAAGTTGGCCCAAACATGCCCCACCCCGCTACCTTGCCAGCCTAAAAATAAACTTGTTTCTGACCTGCTCACAGTAAATTATGAATTGGATTAATTATTGTGGGGCTTTAATTATAAACTTATGCTTAGAAATCCTTAAGCAGTTATGTTGGGAAAAAAACAAGCACTGAACTGTCCTAGTTTAAAGATAACATTCCTGTTTCCAGAAGGGGAAGGCTGATGGCAAAGGCATATTCTGGGCGGCTGGAATTCAGGTGCCCCCGTTCTGCAGTAGACACTTCTTTGGGGGGAATTATCCTGGGGGTTTTGAGTTTCTGTTGGGAAGTGTCCTTGAAGATTTTACTTTCTCATCAGGAGGTTTTCAGAGTCAGGCTGAAGAACAAGACCATCTCGGAGTCTGTGCAAGTAAGAAGAGAATCTATGGGGGAGAAGACATGGGGATTGTTTTGTAGTTAAGAAAATATATATTTTTTGGTCTTTCATTCAACTAATATTTAATGAGGCCCAACTGCATTCCAGGCATTGAAAAATACAGAATCCCTGTCCTCCCGCAGCAGCTCATAGTCTGGTGAGGGAGATCAACAAAGATGAAATTATAATCCAAGGTGGAATGCAAAGGTAGAGGCATGTGGAGGGGGTGCTGTGGGAAGAAGAGAAGGAAAGTGGGAAGTCACAGCAAAACAGAGACAAGAGTATGTCATAAATCCTCACATACCCATCATCAGCTCCAACAGTCATCGACATTTCACCAATTTTGCTTCAGCTATCCCCCAGCACCCCCAATTTTTTCCCTAGAGTGTTCTGAAGCAAATCTCAGGTATCACATCCTATTACTTTGCCCATAGCAACCTAAGTATAAATATCTCACAAATACAAATTCTTTTTGAACAACAACAAAATTGAAAGGTTATATTTTATCTCCTGAAGGTGCTCAGAGAATGTAATCTCTATAAAATTTAAAGAGTATTTTGCATATAAAATCAAGGACAAAAAGTGAACGGAGAAAATGAAAGCAATTAATGTGTTAGAGTGGTGGAATTGTGGAATTTTTTTTCCGTTTTGATTTTTGCTACTTCTGTTTGTAGTGAAGGCCCTACAACTTTAGACTCTAAAACCTCCTCCTAGTTCAACCTGACACTGGTAAGTCTAGTGCCAAACCCCACATAAATAGGCCTCTTCTTCCAACAACTAGCTCAGATATCGAGACCTTTCTGGACTATTCTCCTATCCCACCACATTCATAAAAAATCTGAGATAATGGCATAATTTGTGAATATAGGATGTGTTGTAGTTTAAAACTTCTCTATTAAAGCAATCTTTATTTACTACCAACAAGTTCCTCTATACCACTGCTAGGAAACATGAAGGGAGATATCAGGTAATTTAGAAAGTTTTTATTTTCATAGTAGTCTAACCATTGTTTTTATTTTATAATAGGTTGCCAAAAAAAGCAAGCATTTTCACTTTGATAATTATTAGAAACTATTAAAATTTTTAATATTTCTTAAATATGGTCAACTTTTATGCTATAATCATTTTGACTAAATATGACATTATAATAGACTAGAGAGTTACATAATGTTTTCCAGCAGAATAAGGTGATCCAAACTATTTGGAAAGGCTAAGGAGCAGTGTGGTGGGAAACATGGGAATGGGACCCACTAGTTAGCCCCTTATTCCAGCAGATCTCTCTAAGGACTCCTCCAGGTCAAACATTTATTTATTTATTTATTTATTTTTGTCCTTTTTGAGACCGGCCGCACCGCACTCAGCCAGTGAGCGCACTGGCCATCCCTATATAGGATCCGAACTCGCAGCGGGAGCGCCGCTGTGCTCCCAGCGCCGCACTCTCCCGAGTGCGCCACGGGCTTGGCCCCAGGTCAAACATTTATAGTGTTATGGCTTTGTACATGAATAATAAAGCAAAATTTTGCTGAGAAGGAAGGAGTACCTGGACCTTTTTAAAGAATAATATACCACAAGCTTATTTTTAAGACCAGCCCTTTACATTTTTTGTATTTCTTCTAAACCCTATCAATGTATAAATTATTTTGATATATATATATTTCCATGGAGATACATATATTTTACTCATGTTACATGTTATGTTTTATAAATGCATTAGAAATATTACATCATATTATCTTGAGTTTTCCTAGTCTGCTGATTAAAATATAAATATACCAACCTTATGTCAATTCTTCAGCTCTTCAGTACACCCAGGGACCCAGGGGGAGCAATAGCTCATTGAATTATAAAATGACTCTCTCAGTGAACAAGGGGACTTGAGACAAGAGCTATCAGGGGCTGGAGCTCAATACATGTGGTCAAACACAAACTTCATCCCAAATCTCCTAACTGAAGGGTGCTGCATCCCTAATGATGCCTCTGACTACCTGTTGAGGGAAAGGTGCTCAGCTTCTGCTCAGAAACTGACTATGCCCCCGATTGATATGCCACCTCCCAGCCTGGCATCTCAGTCCTCGCAACCTAGCTTTCCTGCCTCGGCTCCTTTCCAGGTGTCCAGTCCACTTTTCTCAACCAAGGTATGTCACAATCACATGGGGAAAATATATCAGTTCCTTGGGAAGACATCCCAGAATGGGGAGAGAGTGAGCAAAAGAGGGCAAAAGATTACAAAAAATTCCCCCAAGTGATTCAGATTTGCTCCAGTGCCTCCACTGAGAATCACTGCTTTTTCAAAGACAATTGACTAATTGCAGCTCCCTTTGCCTACCATCTCTACCTTTACTGCACATCATTCCTCTTATCAAAATATGCTGCTGTCAGAATCCAACCTGCCAAGTGTACATCAGTACTTTTGCAGAGCAATTTGGCAATATCTAATAAAGTTGAGAATTCTCTTCTCCGGTAAATATCTTAGAAACACTTCTGTATATGAACATAAGGAGACACATACAAAAATGTTCATTGTGGCACTGTTTGAAAGACTGAAAAATTGGAAACAACTTAAATGTCCATCAACAGAAGAACTGATTTAAAAATTGTGGTACACATACACACCCTCATATACACACACAATGGAATACCATGCAACAGTGAAAACTAACTAGCGCTACTCGTATCAACATATATAATCTACAAAATATGTTGATTAAAAAACTATACAGAGGGATAAGTATGACACTACATATAAAATGACATTATTTCAGAATACATACATATGTAATAAAAATGCATGAAATTCACAAAATCATAAATACCAACTTCAAGGTCCTGGTTACCTCCAGACAGTGGAAGGAGAGAGTTGCAAGTGAGTAGGGGAACACAGGTGGCTTTCATTGCATTGGTAATTATATTCATTTCTGTGGCTGCTGTAACAAATTACCACAAACACTGTGGTTTAGAACACCAGAAATTTATTCTCTTACAGTTCTGGAGGCCAGAAATCCAAAATCAGTATCACTGGGCTGGAATGCAGGTGTGGGCAGGGCTGTGCTTCCTCCTGAGGCTCTAGTGGAGACTCTGTTCCTTACCTCTTCCTGCTTTTGGTGAATGCTGGCATTCCTTGATTTGTGGTCACATCACTCCAGTCTTCTAACCTCTTTCTCCCCTGTCTTCACAGGGCCTTCTCATGTGTGCGTGTGTGTGTGTGTGTGTGTGTGTGTGAAATCTCCGTCTCTCTGCCTCTTATAAGGGCACGTGTAATTGCATTTAGGGCCTACCTGGATAAATCAGGATAATCTCCTCATCTCAAGCCTTAACTTAATCATCTGCAAAGACCCTTTTTCAAAATTTGACATTACAGGTTTCAGCGATTGGGACCTGCTATCTTTGGAGGGGCATTTTCCAGCCTACCACAGTAATGTTTTATTTCTTAAACTGAATGGTAGTTAATAGCGGACTTGGGCTTTTTTTTTTTTTTTTTTTTTTTTTTTT